AGCTTAAAGTTAAAATTTTGGCACAAATTTGACATTTCTTGTCACCTAAATAGTTCAAGAACTAGTTTTGAGAACAACGCTTTAGCAACATTTTTTTTTACTCTGAAACAAAAAAGTCTTGGTTAAAAAGAATAATTGGAAGCAAGGTCTCATTCAGGTACCATGTGATTCCTTTGAAACCATTGCGGCACAAATAAAATTATAATATCCCAGTAAATATGTTTCAACAAAAGTTTAGTGGGATATAGTTTTTCAACTTCTAAGTCTTTCTCAGAAGTGTCTGAGATGTTGTTCATATATATGTCTCCAGCAAGTCAGATTTAGTAAAACTGATTTTTACTTTTAAATAATTTTTGTTATTTAATAATTTATGTTTTTGTTTGACATTCTGTGCTACTTTAGTTTAACTAGTGTAGCGCTTGCTTTATAATAATGAGAAGCTCCGAGTTTGATAAAAATGAGACATTTTAAGCCTGGCCCCGGCTAAACTATAAGATTTAGCAGGAATTGATAGTTAGGACTAGAAAAAAATTTATAATACTTTATATATTATAATTTTATGTTTACATTTACTATTTATAAAATACTGGCATATATTTATATATTTTCAAACTCTAATTCACTTCCAACAAGATTGCAAGCAACCACTATTAAGTTATGAGTTACTTTAAAATAGAGAGTAAGTAAAAATACTAGGAAATGGTTAACTGAAGATTTAAAAAGTTTTAGGTTGTATATATAAAACATGAAGATGGATAATAGTTGTAAGGTTTTTTTGATGTCCAAGAAAAAAAAATTGGATTAATAAAAGTTTTCATAGCATGAAGGGACAGATACAGTAAAAGGCAACCTTTTACTGTATCTTACTGTAACTGAGTTAAATGAGAAACAAGCAAGAATGAGTTTTTGGTTTATCGTAATAGAGATGATAGCTTGACTGAACATTGATCATGATTGTAATTGTAGAAAAAAGAAAGAAATGCAACCTTATAACAATGGAAGAGTGGCTCAAGCTTAGCAGATAAAGCAGGTCTAATTGTTTAATATTATTATTTTTATGTTAATTCACCTCCATAAGACTGAAAATGCCACTACAGACGAGGAGACTACTTAATTGTGGTTATAACCCTCTCTCAACTATATAACTCCAAAACATGAACCTTAACAACCAAGGCCACTACGCAGAGAAACAAGTTGAGCGCATTACTACCAGGGACGTGGTGAGGATCGAACTTTGTACATCTCGCTTATTACATGATCGCTCTACCACAACACCACAACTGCATCACATTTACAATGTGCTTTTAGACTTTGTCTGAGAGTAAGAAGGTTGTTATTCATCAATATAGGAATACCAACATTATTGCAATATTTTTTGGCAGTAAACAATGAGTTTTGTTGTCTAACAAAAATTGCAGTTTAAGTCTAACAAAAATTGCAATTAAGTCAAGAATTTAAATTCATAAGCCAAAGCAAGCCTTAGGCTGTTACAGAAGATAGATTAGACTAAAAATCAGTTGCTTGTTCTAAGCAATCAAAAAGTTAAGATTTTTTGTCAAAACAAGAGATAGAGCCGCTTTAGATGTTAAACTTTCATGAAGATTGATATTGTAGATAAGGAACTATACAGGAACAAAAATTTAAGGGTACTTTGTATACCTTGTGGTACCCTTAAAGTTACTTGAAATAAAGAAGAGTGTAAGCCTTCAAGAATAACTTTATTACTGCAGTTAGTAAGAAATAATTTAATAATCTCAAAACCTTTATATAAAGAAACTAATAACAGAGTGAAGAATAATCGTAGAATAGCTGGAGAGGTCAAAGTGTTTCCTAGAGTTGTGAAAAATTGGAACCATTTATTTAGCACATTTTAAAAATTAAATATTTTTAAATACTATATAATTAATAAGATTAAATGTTAGACTTACTTTAGTTAATGACATTGTTGAAGACTAACCAAAAGTCTCTAGAATCAAACATCTGATGCAAGATTTAGTAAATTGAAAATAACAGAGCTTAACATCAGACAGGACCTTTATACATTGGCTTCTTGGAATAATAAAAGGACATTTGTTCTTAAGAGAGATGTTCTTGTAAAATAAGATGAAATAAATGATTAACAAAGCAACATCTCAACATAATAAAAAAATTTGGAGTAGAATGAGGTTTGACTTGAAGAGTAGGAATAAAAGCTTCCAAACTTTTAGTCCAGAAGGAAAAAAAGCTTCTGAGATGCGCTTTATGCATACATATTATGGATATAAACATGTGTTTGGTACTCGTTTAGATACTAGCATACAATATCCTTTCATATTTATATAAACTTTAGTATTTATTTGGTGTAGTATTATTCATATGGTGTAGAATTAATTATATGGTGTAGTATTATTTATAGCCAAAAAAGATGATGATGATGATGATCATGATGATCATATTGATCATAATGATGTTTATATATGCATATAATATATATATATATATATATATATATACAAAATATAACATGAATTTTGATTTAAATATACTTTAGGATGTATAAATGTTTATGCAGCCCCAGTCACAAACCCAGCCCCGGCTTTTTTTTATCAAATCCGGCCCTGGCCTCAGTCAAATATCAACCCCATTCATTTACTACACATCCCTGGTAGTAACGCCCTAAAACTGTCAAGGTTTGTGTTTCAAAGTTATAGAATTAATAGAAGATTGTAAAAACAATAAGTAGCTTCCTTGTCTGTAGTGGCTTTCTTGGCCTTGGGGAAGTGAATTAACATTAAAAAAAAACTATAATTTTAATATTGTTGTATTAACATAATGTATTCATTTAAATTTAATTATTATTAATATCATAACTATTAGTATTAATATTATTACTGTTATTATTATTAGTTATATTTGCTGTAACTGGTTATAACCAGTGTTTCTAATATCTATGACAACCATTTAATAAAAACTACAAATCAGAAATTATTAAAAACTTGTTTAATTTATTTTGAAATTCAATTGTTGAATTTACTGTTTCATTTTTATTTTAAACACTAAAGCAGCACTATTTGGGATAAATATATTTTCAGGTTTATATCTACATATTTGTCCTAATTATTTCATAATGTGACCATTTATGGTTGAATTAGAATTAATTTTTTTTTTCAATTAATATTGCTGTTATAATATTACAATGTTTCTAAATTAAATTTTTATTACTTTCTAATTAAAACTTAATTTTAACTTTCTAATTAAAATTTAATTAAACTTTCTTATATTTTTATGAGGTAAGTAGTTATTTCAGGTAAGAAGTTATTTTTAAATAGGTTTTTATTCTAAATTTTTTTTTCGGGGTTCAACAACCTTTGAGTTCAATAAACATTACATGGTCATAACTTCTCAAATAGATTTAAAATTTAATGTATCTAGTTGGCAGATATTTCCAATTACAGATCATGAATTGTTTTTTATGTTCAACCTAATAGAGATGGAATGGTTGAGCATATTATTTAGTTTTATCAGAGTTATCAGAAGAATAGAGCTATTCTGAGGATGGTTACCTTTAAAGGGACTACCAAGTCCCGAGACATGTTGTGTTCATATTAAAGAGAATGTTAAAAAAAACTTTTTTACATACAATTTCCAAATCATATTCATTTTTATTATATTTTAAAGTTCTAAAATGTGTTTGTAAAACAAAATTAAAAACAAAATAAAATTAAAAACAAAATAAAATTAAAAACAAAAATAAAATAAAAAACAAAATAGTATTTTATTTGCGCAACTTTTTTTAAATAATCGTCTAGACGACGTGTATTTTGATTTCTTTTGTTATAAGTTTTTCTTTCAAAATATTAGATAAAATAATTTTTAACCTAAATAATAATGCACTTTTATTGATTTACTTTGTAAATATTAAAAAAAAAATTATTAACGCTTTTTTTCTCTGATTTTCAAAAATGTATTTTTTGGTATTGAGGTGATCTTATTTCATTATTTATATTTCCATTATAACATCCAATATATATTATGGCGAGGGCTTAAAAATTAAAAAATTAATATATATTAATTTTTATTTTACAGACATACATGGAAACATAATTAACTTGAATGTTCTTAAAACATCTTGGGGAAGAATAAAAAGAATATTCGCGAAAACTAAAAACCCGCCAAATTTGCAAACAAACTAATTCTATTGGTTCAAAAAACACGCTAAGCGAAATAAAGTTCTAGAGTATTCTGTTGAAATGTTTTAGGAATTGTTTACGATTTGTTGCGTTTTGAGATATCTAGCATAAATTTTTTTAAGAATATATTATCAAATGAACTATTACTTTAATATTATGGCTCATTCTCGGAGTCACATCTGTAAAGCCATAAAACTTTTAAACTATTATCATTTGTTTACAAAAATAAACGTTTTATAATATATATTTTTTAAATTGTCAAAATTTTGAAAGTTAATTACAAATTATATATTTTATTAGTATATTCTTAATTTTTATATCTTTTCTTAGTGCTTGGTTTAATTAATTGTTCGTTAGATTTGTAAAAAACTAATGAACAATTAATAAAATAAACTTTTAATAAAATAAGTAACTATAGTTAGCTATTTGAGTAAAATTTAATAGTAAAATTTTTAAAGAATTTCTAGAATGTTTCCAATGAAGTCATGCCCTAAAACTCTTATGAATTAAACACGCTTGAATAAATTATCAAGTCTATATAAGTCTGTATAATGCGCCTGGAAAATCGCGTTTATTTTACATACTCAAAATACCAGAGAAAACGGAGAAGACAAGCTTCGACTAAAACAACAAGATTTGTTTTTCTTGGTATACATTTATTAATTAGTTTTAATCAAAAAAAATTTGCTCAGACGTTTTTTTTTTTAACATTCTCTTTAATATGAATACAACATGTCTCGGGACTTGATAGTCCCTTTAAGGATCAATATTACTTTTTAAGACCTCATTTGAAAAAACTTTTCAATATATAAATCAATAATATATAATAATACTCAATAACACATAAATCGCCTTAAGGTGTGTGTGTGTGTGTGTGTGCGTGCGTGCCTGCGTGTGTGTGTGTGTGTACACACACAAAGGGCAAATAAAGCACTCACAAATTGTGATAGCCCAGAGCCATAATGGAAAAAATTTGATTGAATAATATGAAATAAGTACATTAAAGTATAATGCAGTTCTAAACCATAATTTGGTTTAGACAGGCTTTTTAGCTCATTGCAAAAATATGCTATTTATAGTACTTCACTGATTTACATTCTTGGATAAATGTTTTTATGATAATATGTATATTGATATACATTTTTGAAGTTGATTTAAGTAGTAATGTATTTTTATTTACTGCATTTCTTTTTTTTTTTTAAGGCATATAAAAATATGACAAATATATATATATATATATATATATATATATATATATATATATATATATATATTATATATATATATATATATATATATATATATATATATATATTATTATATATATATATAATAATATATATATATATATATAATAATATATAATAATATATATATATATATATATATATATATATATATATATATATATATATATATATATATATATATAAAAAATATATATATTATATAAAATATGACAAATATATATATATATATATATATATTTGTCATATTTTTAAACTGTATTTGTACTTTCTGGATGAACATCTGTTTTATACAAGCAGTAATCAAAACGCATTTTAATTTTGAGAGCCTTAGTGAACTTCACTATTTTTGCTGCAGCAAATTTATTTTCTGCAACATATATATATATATATATATATATATATATATATATATATATATATATATATATATATATATATATATGTATATATATATATATATATATATATATTTGTCGTATTTTTAAACTGTATTTGTATTTTCTGGGTGAACATCTGTTTTATACAAGCAGTAATCAAAACACATTTTAATTTTGAGAGCCTTAGTGAACTTCATTATTTTTGCTGCAGCAAATTTATTTTCTGCAACATATATATATATATATATATATATATATATATATATATATATATATATATATATATATATATATATATATATATATATATATATATATATATATATATATATATATATATATATATATATATATATATATATATATATATATATATATATATATTCAGAGACTTTAAACAAGAATAAAAACAGATTTTTTGAAAACCTTTTCTTGTTTCTCAAGATCTGCATCAATCAATGTAAGTCTGGCGTAATTTTCCCAAATGTATGGATCACTTGTTATCTAATAAATAAAAAAGTTAATTTAAAAAAGTTAATATAAAATAAACAAAAAGTATACAAAAAACAAGGAAGAACTGATTTTAAATAAGAAATGTTAAAAGTTTTTTTTAAAGGTTTTTCAAAAAAAGAAGAAGATGCAACTATAAATATACAACTATGTGTGTTTAAATAACATCTCTGATGTCACACTAATATTTAGAGTGCCTCAGTACATACATCAACTATCTTATAGCTTACTGAGGGTTTGGCATGGGGAAGCAATCTTTTCCTTAGTTATTATTTAATTTTTTTTTTTTCTTAAAACGCTGTATGGTATTAAGGTAGGAAAACTAGTAACAATTTATTATCTAAATATGCTATAGTAGATATATATTTAATATAAATATAAATATATATAAATATATATATATACATATTTATAAATATAAATTTAAAACAAATATATAAATACATACATATATTTATAACAAATATATATATATATATATATATATATATATATATATATATATATATATATATATATATATATATATTATATATACATATATATATATATATATATATATATATATATATATATATATATATATATATATATATATATATATATATATATATATATATATATACATATATATATATATATATATATATATATACATATATATATATATATATATATATATATATATATATATATATATATATATATATATATATATATATATATATATATATATATATATATATATATATATATATATATTTAGAAATATATATACATTTATTTTTATATACACATAATTTGCACTTGTATAAAAATTTTCAATAATTTTACAAATATAATTACTAATATAATGTATTGATCTTTACTTAAGTTTATACTTATAAAATATAGGATCTAAGATACACAATGTGGTGACAGTATTTTTATTTCCCGTCAATGAAGACCTGAGAACCGTATGGATAAAATTTCATAACAGGTGCCAAATAAGTCAACTGTTATTTGTGGAAAACATTAACAAAAAAAAAAAAGTTTAAAAAAAGAAGTACCAAAAAATCTTGTTTAATTAAAAGTTATAAGCTAAAGTTATATTTTAAAAAGGTTGTCCAGTACCATTACCCCAATGGTTTCGTAAAGGTCATGATTGAATGATGCTTGAAAACATATCTGCTTATTTACAAAATCAAGCAGAAAAACATTTGGTTTAATTTTTGATGATTATAAAGAAATAAAATTATAAAAAAACTTGTGTACTCTTCAAATAAACTTAGCATAATAAAGTTCTAATCCATACAATATGGTTTAGCACTGCATTATACTTAAATGCAATCATGGAATATCAATCAAGTCATAGTAAACATCAAAGTGCTTTGGAAAAACATTCATGACTATCAATTCCTTAATAAAAAAAAATATCTTTTGTTAATATTGATGTATAAAAACTGCAAAATTAATACTCAAAAAAGGAAAATGCTGCAATATGTCGACATAATATTAGCTAAAATTTATTTGCAGAAACATTTTTAAATAAAAAACAATATTATTCAAAAACATTTTACAATAATTTATATAAGGGAATAAATATATTATAAGAAAAAACCTGTGATGTTACATAAGCAAACATTTTCTGTAATCTGTCTTTTAATCTATCAGCTAAAAATAAAAAATCTTAAATTGTAATCTAATTTAAACTCAATTTCTAAGTAACCCATTCTTTTATTTTTAAACCCTTTTAAATAAACTTTTTTATTCAATATCCAGAATATTTTAATTATTAGAACTTTTAAATATAAACCCAAAAAATATTTTAATTTTTAAATATACTCCTCTTTTTGTTTTTATATTGAATTGAATTTTACTGAAGTTTAAAAAGAATTTAGTTTCAAAAAATGTTTATAATTGAAGATTAGAGACTGATTACTGAAGGTTAGAGGAAATAGAGTTTAAAAAAATGTTTACATTTGAAGATTAGAGACTGATTACTAAAGATTAGAGAGTTTCAAAAAACATTTTAAAAAAGCAACCCATCTAACCTTTGCTAAATAAATACAATATAAAAATAAAACCAATTTAATTTCAAAAGAAAAATGAAAAAAGAACAAAACGTAAGGTAACATTAAATACGAAAAAATAAAAACTATAACCCTTTAGGCCATTTTTATCTTCAATTTTTTCTTTTACAACATCAACCAAAATTCTTAGTACCTGTAATTAAAACTTGAAAAATAAAAAATATAAACAACTTATTTAAAAAGTATATCAATTCTAACAAAACTTTTTTTACATATACATTTACATATAAATTTAATATTATATAAATATTCAATATAAATAAATAATATTAGATATAGATTTCCTCCGACCTGATGCTGACTAAAAACTGTTGCTGACCTTATTTTTCTAATTACAATAGCTGTATATATAATAATATAATAATACAATACTGTTGAGATTTAACGCCATGTTATAGAAAAAAGAGTTATATAGAAAAAACGAGTCAAATGTACTCAATTAAGTCTAGCTTAGCTTTAAATGAGTTAATATTTTTAATTTCTATTGTTTTAAATTGCAATCTATTTCAGAATATGACCATGTGGTTTGTAAATCACCCCTCACGATTTAAATATTTCTTGTAAGCAAGTGATGACCTCAAAAATTTGAAACATTTAAAAAGCTTGAGTGCTTTAGTGGTATTTTTCAAGTAATTTTCTTTATATTATTATAATATGATACCACTCTACGTATTTGTTTGAGATCATCGTGTTTTCTTCGGTGTTAGATGTCAAACTGATTCTTTTTGTCTTTTATTGTATTAAAAAAATAACGTAACTCCGGTAACAATTTTGTTACTCGTTTTTGATATATTTATATATTTTCTAATATATTTATATCTTTTTCAAGATGAGGATTCCATATCGATACTGCAAATTATAAATGCAGACAAATTTAACTGCAACTTTATTAGTTTAGTATCTTTATACTTTAACGATTTTGATACCAAATTTGCATTTTGCAATAGATGATGCGATGTTGATTTGTGATTTTCATCTTAAATCATTTGAAATTAATACACCAATATTTTTTTTTAATTTTTTTCTTTACATTAATTTTTTTTTACATTGTTCTCAATTCTTGCTTTACATTATTGTTAGTCATAAAATATTTATGATTTGTATTTTTATTACCCACATGCAGTTTATTGCCCATTCTTTTAATATATCAATGTCATTTTTATTACCCATATGCTATCATCTGCATACAGCATTATTTGATTTACAAGTTGACTAGAAAGATCATTAATTTATAATAAAAATAAAACTGGACCAAGCACAGATCCTTGTGACACACCACTCTATATATACTTTCCCAAGATGATACTCCTTCTCTTAAAACAATCATTTGCCTTCTATCAGTTAAGAAAGACTTTATTCACTCCAATAACAGATGAATTAGAAAAGATGAATATTTAGATTCATCAGTAATTTTTGTCATGTTAATTTAAGTGATTTTAAAAACAGTTTAAAATTAAATTTAATCACAACGCAGTTCTTTAAAATATACCAATGATGCAATTTAACTAATATCAATGTAAATATCAAAGCTGTGTTAAATTTATTAGAGTTACGCATTTTAGTTATGCAATAAATCTCATAACAATGTAAATATATGTATGTATGTATGTATGTATGTATGT